GAGCTGAGCCCACCGAGACCCGGGACGGGAGGTACAGCATGGACCTCGAGAGACTCGAAGCCTCTTTGCTGCCACAACTCCTGAAGGTCTGAGAAACTCTGCTTTCATTGGAAAACCCAAAGCGTTCTCCAGTTTCCCAGAGAGGCTGGGAAATGCAACAGTCTTGTAACAGAAAGGTAAAAAATATAGAAGAAAGGAGAGCCAAAAATTATTATTTTCCAAATGCTTACGAGCTTATCTCATGAGTTTGGGATACCAGCCTGGTTTCTGAATGCTGAGTGGGCCACACAGAGTGAATAATAGATGTTAAAATGGAAGTTCATTTAAAAGTCAGGGTGGAAAAGGCTTTTTCTTACCATTTTTCCAACCATTTTTCCTGGAGAATAAAGCTACTGCTGTACTGCTTTATCTGCTAGGTGATCTTCATGGTAGAAAATAAAAAAAAGCACACAGGCATGCAGAGCATGCCCTGGCTCTGCACTGTAACCTCTGCTAGCAGCAGGCAAGTGGGGCCGTTTTGGCTCAAACATACTGGATTCAGGGATTTTTTTCCCCTACCACCCTTCCAGTATTTTCCTCCTACCGGCAGATCCTCAGCTGATAACCTCCACCAAGCCAGTGGGACTGGGATGACTGGTTTCCACTAACCACACCATTGCGTGAGCAAACATTGCCTAAGGGAAGCAATACAGTCCGAGCAGACCACGCTAACCCACGTGCAGAGGAGCCCATCGTACCTTCTGCGGCCTGTACCTGAACAAAGCTGACATCTCTTTTGCTGCTTTAGCCTCCACCGGGATCCCTTGCACGTTACACACCTCGTCTACAAATACACCGAAGAATTAAAATAGGTAGTGACTGCCAGAATAAAAACGTCAGGTTTATAAATCAAAAGCTTTTATGTATGTTATCGGAATAATTGCTAACTCAGGCTTGCAGAGAAAGGTATATGCCAAGTACATACATGGCAAATGAAAAGAATGGACAAAATAGCTCATAAATTGTGACTCTGGGTTAATTAGTTGTTCCAGCCCAACTCACCAGTGATGCAAACTGGACACACAATCTAGGTTGAAATGTCTTTTTTCTTACACACATGTTTTTCCACTGTTATTTATTAATGTAGTTAGTAGTAGACTTCTATTTAAGTATTTGTAGTTAATCAGATTAACTTTAATTAAGTGGCAATTTCAGTGCAATAACAATACATCTTTTGGCTGTCTTTGGGAATATCCGTGCAAAAGAACAAATAAAGACAGGAGGCCAGATGAGCAGCTGTACTCGCACCCCTGGGTTAAGCCTCCTCTCCCCTTTGGAAACCCCGAATACAGAACTGAGCATATCTGAAAGACAGCAACCAGTTTGCCGTATTTCATGCCTAAGATCTGACCTCATTTCAACAGTGCAGGAGCAAATTCTCTGTTCCCTCTCACCGTTATAACATGTAGGCTATCGATTGAGGACAGGGTAAGGCGTCTTATTTTGACAACCTATTCAGCACCTCTGCAGAGACCCCGGGAACATCAGGCAGAAACTGGACTGAACACGAGTGGGTTTGGGACACAGGGTGGCAAAGGGGGAATAAAACAGAACTTCCCCTCAGACTTCCAACCCTCATAATAAGTACAGAAATAAGACAGCACATGATGTAATTTCGCAAATGAAGCCCAAACTTAAAGGAATAGGAAATGCAGGCTGCCTGGCGGAAGGTTTCCCAGCTCCTTACCCGACCTGCCCCGTGGCATACCCCACACCTGGACCGGCCGTGACCATGGCACCTGTGACAGTCCTGAAATCAGAAGATTATTCATGCACAGAGCTACCAGGGATTTCGGATATCTCGTATTACGCACACGCACTCTTCCTGCATCAAAATTCAGTGACAAAATTCTGGTCCTAAGGGGACAGAATCAACACCATAAAATTGTGCTGTGCAACCATTAAAGGAGTCATAAATAATAATTTTTTAACAAAGGCAAATGTCTATGTAGTGCTGGCAAAAGAAAGCATTTTTTTTTTCTTTATTCATCATATCACTTAAAAAGTAAAATAAATTGACCAGCTATAGAGCCTGTCAAAAGCTAAATGGGAACTGTCATGCAAACAGATGTTCTGCTAATGTTGAAAAAAAAAAAAAATCTAACAAAAGAGGAAAGATTATCCAGATTTGTTTCTTGAAAAGGCTCCAGCACGATTTGTCCTCAAACTTCTAGAGGAAGAAAACACCAGGAAGAAGGGATCTCTGACTATTTTCCCTGGTGTTCAATGAGGAAAAACCCAAGAAAAGGAGAACCATAATGAGGTGCCCCTTACCGTCCCGAGGAGCTGAGTGTCCTGAGGGGGGGCACTGCCCCGGCTGGGGGTTGCTCCCCGAGCCCAAATGAGCCCATCAGCCGGGGAAGGGGCTCCCACAAGCAGCCGACAGCGAGCGAGGACTCACCCTGACCAGCGCTCAGTGGGGCACCCGGCAGCGCCAGGTCTGGTCCCAGGGGTCGAGGGGGGCGTCCCCGGGGGGTCTGGCCGCTCCAGGCTCTGCAGGAGGGAATGGCGTCTTACTCACCTTGCTGGAGATGGTGCTCGGATGCTCTCCGGCTCCTGGTGCTGCTGGGGACCGGCCAACATCGCTCCCCATCCCCATGTGGGGGTCGCACCAGGGACCGATCCTATGTGGTCTGTGCCACGGTCACCCCAAGGTGCTGAGCATCCTCCTGCCACCACGGCACAGCCCCCGTCGCCCCCCAGCCCTCCCAGCAGACCCCCCGGGCCTGTGCGGGCACCTGGGATCAGCTGTCACCCAAAAACCAGGGGCAGGGGTCCCCCACAGTCCTCAGCAGGTTGGTAAAGAGCTCCACTGTGTGCAGGTGCCCATCCCAAATCAAACTTTGAGTATACAGGGCACTTGGTAGGAAATTACTGCCGTGGAGGCAGGGAAATAATCGCCTCTGCTCCCAGGGCATGCTGCAAAACCTCCCCCAACAGGAGGAAAGCAAACTAAACCTGCAGAGGAAAGCATTTTACCCCAGATTCACAGGCCCTGCGGAGTGCAAACAGCCACAAGGGATCAGATAAACCTGATGCACGTTAAACCGGGCTCAAGTCATCTCCAGGAGCCATGCGAGCCCTGGATGGCGAGCGCTGCCACAGACCCCAGCTCCAACATGTGCAGCACATCCCACAAGAGCCATTCCAGTGGGATACGGGGCAATCACTTACTGGTGAAGGGCTCGAACACCCACTCGCTTAACCTCGACTCACTGAACGTCTCCAGCCGATACTAGAAGAGAAAAATCACACACTCACCACAAAGACAACTTGCACAAAGCAGGCATTTAAATTTGAACCGTGACTTGCTAATAATGGGTCTCGGGAGCATTCCCAGGCTCTTCCATCTCTGAGTACAACTTGCATAAGAAAAACAGGTTGGCATTTTCACAGCAAAAGTGAGTTTTGCCATTATTTGGAGAGTCCTGTGGCTTATTTTTGGGGGAAGGCCCAGATAATGTTTGTGAGTAATCTGAATAATCTCAGAAGTGGAACAAACACTAGTGTAAAGGAGTATCTGCCCCACAGTGCCTATCAAAGGGCACTCCCAGCACTCTGCTCCTCAATGCTCATTCGTTATCCCCTCCAAGAAGCCCCAGAAAAGGGAGCAGGGGTGGGCACAGCAGCACTCCCCTGGACGGCTGCCCAGGCAGCACCAGCACCAAACCCTGGCACAGAACCCACCGTTTTGGTTTGCTGGGCATTGATTCCCCAAGCCAGGACTGACTCGAGATCCAGAGACTAACCACAACAAGCACCAAATCCGCAATAACTATTTTCAGTGAGGGGAACGACAATAGGGAACCAAGTCCACGTGTTTTCTGTGGAATCAAACATTACCAGAATAAATCAACAGCTGGGGGGATGCGTGGCATTACAGGTCACTCTGTGCTTGCCTGAGCCCAAAATACCAAGCTGCAGAGCAGGTTCCTGTGGTTTAGCTCAGGAGAGGGCTCTTTTGCCAAAGCTAGGATGTAAGAGAAGGCTTCCAAGGGCTTTGCCGAGGTGGTGCTTTACTGTAGACGATGATAGACCTTTCAGCTATAAAAGCCTGTAGTCAGCACTTAGGTAGACTTTCCTTGGAAAGCACTTGTATGTCTGCTTTTAAAGTAGGATGAAAGCCATTTAATTTAATGAATGGATGGTTCTTCGTGGCCCGATGTCACTATGTAATTGGAAATTATCCCAGCCGCTCAGAAGGGGTGCCCAAGACGCCAGGTCTGGAGGTACTCACTCGGTACGTCCCCAGCTGGCGCAGCTGCCGGATGGCCAGCTCTCCTGCGGCTCTGCTCCCGTAGCAGCATCGGGAGGCCACGAAGCGCAGGAGGGCTTGCCTGGCCGCCGCCTCTGTCATCGGGGGCACGCTGGGAGGCAACGGGAACAAAACAGGTTTATACTCTTAACTTATCCTAAAGAATTAGCTGGAAACATTCAGTGTATTTAACCTACTGCAAAAAAGTGAAGTAGAGCCCATTTGGGAGCCCCCACCTCTTTTACACAATCGCTGCTGGCATCCTTCTTATTACAAAAGAAAGAGAGATTTGCATTCTAAAAAATATCTTCATGCAATATCCATAAGGCCAGTATTAAAGAGTGGTCTAAAATAAATACGTGTGTGTGTAAACCCTTGCCTTCAGCAGGCTGGGTAAAGGAGAGCCGGTTTGAAACACCGTTGTGTCTTTGCAAGCTGCAAATCGACGGCTTCCCCATCAGCTCACAGGATTAGAAATGGCACTCTCTATTTTTCCAGACCTAGGATCCCTGTTACTCTGAGCTGTTTTCTGTTTTCAGTTAGTAGAAACAACAGCAGAAAGACTAACTTGTGCACGAAGCACATCCCGTGTCCCCCTTGGCCCCCTGCAGCAGCTCTGCCAGCGCGTGGCTGGGGCGGCAGGTCCCTGGAGGTGTCACGGGCAGTGCAGGGCACTCCTACCTCCCCTGACAACTGGGCTAGAGAAAATTGATGAGAATAGGAAAAAATGAGCCTAAAAGTGGGTTCTCAGAGGTGGTTCCTCAAAAATCCTCATCAGTCGTCTTTGTAAGTAAGAGAGAAAAACCAACAGTGACTGCCCGAGCCCGAGACAGGTCCATCTGTCCTCGCGGTGACATCTGACTGTCCATTACATATTTTTTCATCTCTCTGATTTAACACCTTTGGAAAGCATATTAAAACACCATGAAGTAAATTGTAACAGAGGAGATAATGTCAGCATTTGCTCTGTGGGAATATTCAGCAATGAATCCTTTCCTCGGAGCCCATGACGGCTCCAGCCTCGGTGGCCGAGCGAGCTGGTGAGCATTTGTTATGGCCCCAGACAATATTCACTAAGAACCCTCCCTGTCAATATGGTGACAGCTGAGATTAAGAAAACCCTCTTCAATAAAGAGCAAGAGCCGATCTCACAGCTCCTACAGCTATTTCGTTTGGCAGGGATGCCAGCGCAGGGAAGGAGGGGCGGTTCGGCCAGGCAGCAGGCAGGGCTCCCCCTGCCCCAGCACCCGGCAGGCACTGCCTGCAGCATCCCTGACACCACCACTGCTGGCTGGGGGCTCAGCTGTTATCCCCAAGCTCACTGCTATTCAAAGGAAATTTAACACACATCTGCTTTTAACAAGTATCCCTGAATCTTCACATTCCCTTTTTCTTTTTTTTTTTTTTTTTTACCAGAGGATTATCTCTCTAACAAGCGTTCACCAGCCATTGATCAAATTCAAAGCTCCCATGTTTATTTATTCACTTCCCTGTCCTTTCAAGACTGTGTTTATGAGACATTTAGGCAGATCTCTCTGTCCTGCAGTCATCTTTTCTCCTCTCATTAAGGCTGAGAAACATAATGCCACCAGATATCCAGTCTGAACCTTTGTGTAGATGAAGAAAATGAGCAGGAGCTGATTCCCACCATCCTATACACCATCAAATGTTGCCTTTTGAGCTGTGCTTCTTTTTTCTTTTTCTCCATGTGCAAAGGAAAAAGGTGTGTGGGTGTGTTTGGTTTTGGTTTGGTTTGGTTTTTGAATTCAAGATGAAAATCAGGAGAGAAAAGAGACAATAAGCAAAAAAAGCATAAAAGACAGAATAACCGACCCCTAGGAGAAGGACTAGCATACAACCGGTGTGATACTTATATTCCAAAGAAAACTTCAAGATTTTGGGCCCCACCTCCGAGGAGTTGCTCTGGTCACACCCAGACAGAGGATATGTTATCAGCCCTGCCACTGGGCACGCTGGACTAGGGGGAAGGCAGCCCTGCACCGGTAAATTCAGTTTTTGCCCCTGCCCCGAGGCTCTCCCACATGAAAGTCAACACTGCTGCTTCTCCGCACTGCTGGATCCATAAGACACCCATCCACCTTCTCCCCACCTTCGCTGCCCAGTGCGGAGGGACGGGACTGCAGGGTGCCCGGTGCAGGGACGGCAGCTGTTGGCACAGACCTGAGGGCTGGCCACGACAGCAGGAGGCGGCACAAGGACGATGCCAGCGCTGTCGGTGCCACGGGGGTCTGTGTCTGCCCTCGGGACCAGCCCTGGGCACGCCACAGGATGCCCATGCCTGCGGTGGGGGCCGCCTTTCTGCCATCTCCGGGGTCCTGGGACCCCAGCCAGCGCGGGGGGCTGGTGCAAGGACTCACCTCCCGCCCCGGGGCTGCGCTGAGCTGCTTTCAAGAGAAGTACGTAAAACACACTCTCCCCAAAGCTGCTTACCTGTGCTGCGCAAAGGGGGGCCTGCTCCTCTGCTCCCCAGGCTTGCCTGGCAGGTCCAAAGGTGGTGGCAGGGGCTTTGCTCCTACGGGAAAGGGCAACTGAGGAATTCAAGCCCAATTTAAACCCAAGGCAGATTTTGCTCACAACTGCAGGAAGGTTCGGCTGCAGCAGCTAAAGCCCTTCCCGGGTCAGCAGTTTGCTTCACACCAAACATGCCCCACATCCCAGCCAGAAGTTGCTGCCAGTCCAGCTCACCCCAGTGGCGTTCTAGCAAAGCACTGGGACAGCTCCCAGGTGAGTCGGGCAGCCGTGCCCATGCCTGTGCCCACAGCCCTGACCCCGCTGCTTTGCTCAAGGGCAGTACAGCAGCCCCAACTCCCCACTCAGCAGAGTTCTTGATGACTTTCCAAGCAGGGGGAAGCACAGCCAGATGTCAAAGCCAATTGTTTTCCAAAACATGCCCGTCTGCAAAAGAAGCAGGCCAGGAACAGCAGCTCAGGAGGTAAAAAGGAGTCTGCGAGCTGGACAGGCACATGCCCATTGCACTGGAGGGAGCATACCAAGAGGGAGGGTTTCATGGGACTGTCCACCTTGCATGGCACCTCCCTTGGGTTAGGCAGCTGCTATTGTTTCCTTACTGTCAGAAGAGTAATGTTACTGGAGTGCAAACTGTCGGTGTCATGCACGTACCTCTGCCCTGGACGATCCACTCACAGTCATCCAGCCATCCCGGGGGCGCAGAAGGTGTCAGGGGATGTCCGGGCTCTGGGTCCAGGTCGGGGTCACCTACAGCCCAGGGAAACACAGTGAGCGAGGAAGCCTCGAGTTTGGTCGGTGTATGCAGAGACCAAAGAGATGTTACAGGCCAATATACAGCCAGAGAATTTGCCGTCCTTTCCCGCTGTCTTGCTTTCCAGGAGCTCAGTCCCTGTGCTGAAGTGGAACAACACTGACACCCTGTGTAGGTGACAAAGCCCTGCAGGTCCTCAGCTCCCTCCGTGGCCCAGAAGAGCCGGGGCCTGGGGCGTTGCAAGCCCTGAGGACCCCGGCTGGGGAAGCCGGCACCTCGGCCCCGCAGCCTGCGGCACCCCTTGGCTGGGAGCGCAGGGGAGCATTGCCGGCGGCTGGGACGGACACCCAGACCAGGCTGGGTCAAGCACACAGGCAGGAGAAAGGCGCCAGGCACTTTCCAAAGACCCAGAGACATTGCCTGGTAAGCAGGTGAGAAGTCGTAGCTGAAGAGCTCAAAGTTGCACACATTTACATCTTTAACGGGACGTGAAGGTCAGCACCTCTTGGCTGCCCTTGAAACATCAGTCCTTAGCTTGACCAGCAACGACTCTCCTCTTTAAGCGACTGCCTTTTCTAAAAGTTTCCAACTTGTTTTAATTCTGCTCGTGGGACATCGGTTGTTTGTTTCCTTAGGTACCGCTCTAAAAATAACCACTGGTAGCAACTGGTCCTCCTGATGCCTAACACAGAAACAATTCTTTTTGTTAAGCCTTTTATCCAGTGACCTTTCCTATCGCAGCAGCTGATTACAAAAAGTCAGTCTGTGCAAGAAAAGAGCGCGCGGAGGAGCCAGGAAATGCCAGCCTGGCAACAACACGCGGTCTGACCGGCAGAGAGAGAGGCTGAGGGTAGTCATCCATCAACTTGATTTACTGGACTTCCCTTCTGAGACCGTGCTCCTTCCTTCCAGGAAGCTAAATTAATCTCTCCGTTATTTCTTCCTATGAAAATAAGAAACTACATGCTTCATTTGAAATGCCACATCCCTCGTGCAGGAGACGAGAAGGCTGCCCTTGAGCTGAAGGAGCACAGGTTTCCGAGTGATGGCGAGTGATAAGCACTACGGAGAACTTCCTTGTGAAAAATAAATCGGTAAGATGCCTTCAGTGGGATTATCTCAGTCATGTCTAGATCAAACAGAAACATCTTCCTCAAGCAGTACGTAAAGCATCCCAAACAATTTTGGATTCACTGGTCAATTAGCTCACAGTCCATGCCAGCCTACTGGGGCTTCATAGTAATGATAAACTCCGGCTTTCTCTTCCATGCCGCGCTGGAGAGGTGCCGTTCCTTCCCCTCTGTTTTAGCGTTGCATTCTTGGTTGTTGTTTTTGGTGTTCTGATATGTCTGTGTGCAACTGTGTACTCATAATGAAAAGGAAACACAACTGTTATTGAAAATGTTGTGAATTTCCTCATTCAGAAAGTGCAGCTTTTACAAACCTTTAACGACTGAAAGGACTTTGCACGCCTTTAGCGAGGGCTCCCCTTTCTTCAGTTCACCAGGACTCATGCAGCCCTGCTCAGGTGGGCAAGTGCCGTGGTCGGCACACATGGGAGGAGAAGGGCAGAGGGATGATGAGTGCCTTCCCTTAGTGAGCTGCAGAGAAATATTCCCAAAGCATGAACTCCCAGGTTCTTATTTTAACTATTATATCACAACAAATCCTTTATTTTCATTCCAAAATATAATGGATTTCTGTACGCGTTACCAGGAGAACCTGAATGCCTATTTTTAATGTGGAAATGTTAAACAAAAACCCCTGTTTACAAAAAAAGATGGAGATAAGAGTATAAGTACCAAATTCCAGTTCAATGGAAATGGTTTAAATGACCAGGTTAAAAATATCCCAAATTTGG